GCACGTGCACTTTATTGAACTCGACTGTAGAAAAGTGTGTGAGGGTAAAGGGCTGATACAGGATGGGCTGGGGGCAGGGCGAGGAATGGAAGCTGGAGTACATGGGAGACAGGTCAGGGGCAGAGCCCCTGGCCCGGGTGATTCCTCTGGATCTACTGATAGACTTGCAGAATCAGTATTGGGATGATGATCAGCAGAATGGTCATGATGATACCCAAAATCAGGGCCCAGATGTTCAGGCACTTGGCGGTGGAGGCATAGGCCTGGGCCCCGGTCAGGTCGCCAACCATCTTCCTGTCCCTAGACTTCACAGAGTAGGCAAACGCTATGAAGCCCAGGCAGCAGGAGTTCATGAAGAGGGTGTTGAACAGGGACCAGACGACGTGGTCAGGCACGGAGGTCTCGCTTTGGACGTGGATCACGGTGGATGTCAGGGGCGCAGGGTTGTGGGGAGCCCCCAGAGCAGCCACCTCGTGTTCCTCCTTCAGCATCTCATAGTTCGGGGGATGGTAGGTGCTGGTGGGAGTGAAGAAGGTTTGGACAGTGTGGTTCATGGTGTCCGGGGAAGAACGGCCGTGCTGGGGTTGCTGGGATGCTTCTCGGTGGGCCCTCAAGTTTTTTTTTTTTTAAAAGACGGGGTTTCGCCATGTTGGTCGAGCTGGTCTTGAACTCCCAACCTCAGGTGATCTGCCTGCCTTGGCCTCCAAAGTGCTTGGATTACAGGCGTGAGCCACCACGCCCGGCCCAGAGGAAGTTTTAAAAAGGTATATAGATGAAGGGGTAGTTTAAAAAATATATCATTAGACTATTTCAAATATCAAAGAAAAGGGGATGCAACTGAGACTTAAATGACCACAGAGGGAAATATGATTGGAACTAAGAATGGCATATAATTTACTAATGACACGGTGATCAGATAGTTATTTTTGATAATCTTGAATATCATGCAGGTCGCATTTTATTTTGTGATGACAGCAGAGCAAACACTGTTTACTAACGAATTTATTTGTGTTTTCAGTCACTGAAATTTGAAAGACAAAATGAAAATCTAGGTCTCTATGCTGTTGCAAAGTATGGCCAAGAAAACTAGCCACCTAAGCAGTTTTTCAAATAATGTGTCTTGGGCCAGGCTCAATGGCTCATGCCTCTAATTTCAGCATTCTGGGAGGCCAAGGCAAGAGGATCGTTTGAAGCCAGGAGTCCAAGACCAGCCTAGGCAATATACCAAAACCATGTCTCTGCAAAAAAGGGGTTCAAGACCAGCCTGGGTAATACAGCAAGACCATGTAGCTACAAAATCAATCAATCAATCAATAATAATAACAGAATGAATTAGCCAAGTGTGATGGCACATGCCTGTAGTCCCAGATATTTGGAAAGCTGAGGTGGAAGGATTACTTTGAAACTGGGAGTTTCAGTCTGCAGCTGCACTGAGCTATGACCCTGCCACTACACTCCAGCTTGGGCAACAGAACAAGACCCTGTCTCAGAAGAAAAAAAAAAAAAAAGAAAGAAAAGAAAAAAAAGAATATAGGTCAGATGCGGTGGCTCATGCCTGTAATCCCAGAACTTTGGGAGGCCGAGGCAGGTGGATCACCTCAGGTCAGGAGTTTGAGACCAGCCTGACCAACATTGTGAAACCTCATCTCTACTAAAAATACAAAAAAATTAGCCGGGGGTGGTGGCGGGCACCTGTAATCCCAGCTACCAAGGAGGCTGAAGCAGGAAGCAGGAGAATCACTTGAACTCGGGAAGTGGAGGTCGCAGTGAGCCAAGATTGTGCCATTGCACTCCAGCATGGGCAACAAGAGTGAAACTCTGTCTCAAGAAAAAAAAAAAAAGAACCTATCTCTGTAAAGACAGGTGCAAGCAGTGGGAGTGGGCACTGATTTTTGAAATAACTATTTAGATATAATCCGTGTTTAATGCAGGACCTAATGAGGTGAGGCCTGAGGCCACAGAATCCTTCTCGGAATTCACAGTTGAGGTCAAGCCACACTTTGGTGGGCCCCTTTTCACTTTGCTGTTACCTAATCAGGGGAAATCTGATTAACATACACAAAGAAGCCTCAATGGGGGAAAAAAAGGTCACAGAAGGGCAGAGAAGTATTGAGATAAAAAGGAAGAGGCCTTGCCAGTTCTCGAGTAGTTAATTAGGGTCAGAGCAGTACCGGGGATTTCCTGTACCCTAAGTTTGTGAAGTGATTACATAGGTCTGGGGAAAAGGGATCTGCTGAGAGTGATTCACTCAACTTTCTTAGTATTGTGTGGTGAATTGCATTTCCTCTCCACTACCCTATGTATTGACTAACAGATGGGGAAGGTCTCCAAGAGGTGTGTTTACTCCAATTCAAAAGCTATAGGATTTCAGTAGGCCTTGGCCTGTTGGGCAATGTGAGGTTTGAATCTTCCTCTCTCTAATAAATGGGGCTCTTATCAATCATGAAGGGACTTCCCTTGGGACTTGTCACAACAGCATGCAGTGGAGATGGAAATGTGAAGGTAGTTTTCCTGTTCTCCTTTGGGGTGGCTCTGAAAAGCTTTCTGAACCTCTGATCAGAGACTAATATTCACAGGGTTGATTACTACACAGAATTCAGTGAAGACAATTGGGCAACCTGAATCAAATGTTGAGATGGAAAGATAGGTGAGCTCTGATGACACACGTTTAAACTGTAGGTCTGCAAGTAAAACTTTGTAAAGGGCCCTGCCTCAGCGACGTCTGCACTGGGGGCCTCCTTTGCTAAGAGCTTCTTACCCCAACCCTAGCACTCCAAGTCCTGAGGAACTGCTCAATTTCACAGGAAAAAGCCTCTATAATTTATATCTATCAATCTATATATCTATCTATAAACACACACACACACACACACACACACACACAGCTAGACTGATTTTCATGATTTGTAACTATCCTTGTATATAAAATTAAAAAAAAAAATTCAAATAGCTTAAAAACCACTACTGACATCAATATTCCACACAAGATTTAAATTACTTCCCAAGATGCAGACCCTGCACTCCAGCTGATATTTCAATAACTTGAATAAAATTTTCTCAGAAGTCTATTAGAATCAGGAAACGGTCTGCGGTGTGAGGATTTTAAGTGTTTGCAACGGAAACTTTTGCTCCACGAACAGAAAAGCAAGAGCAAAAACTCAAATGCGTTTTTCCTCCATCCTTGCCTAGTCCGAAAGTTGAAAGAAAGAAAACTGGAAGAGTAGCGTTTAGGTTTGCTTTTTTTCTTCTTTTTCCTCTAGAACAGCCAGGTGGATTCACATGATCCAATTTTTTAATTGTCTTCTGTGTCTCACTCGGAATAACCCGGATGCCCCAGCACAATCAGAAAGATCGTTTATTGTTGTTGTTGTTTTTTTAAATAATTTCAGCCTCCAAAGGTGGGAGGCGTGTTGGGAGAGAAAGTACTTTAATTAAAAACAATCAATAACTTGACGTTTTTGCGATACGGTTTGCCATTTTCTAATTAAGAAATGGGTTCGACGGTCCCTTTGTAGACACTGCTATGGAAACTTCAAAGGGTTGGTGGCTGTCCAAGAGATGACACTTCGGTCCCCTGCGAGACCCACGGCCAGGCAGGCCGGGCCGCCGCCCGCTGCCCGTCTCTGGGGTCCGTCCCCGGCTCGGGCAGACACCTCGCTTTCCTCTGCTCTGTCTCCTGCGCTCAGCTCCGCGCGGGGCCGGCGCGCCGCCACCAGACCGGTGCAAATACCTTTTCCCTCCCCGGGGCCCCAGCGCGCGGCCACCTCCCAGCCTCCCTCCCTCCCTGGCGGCGGGGCCCTTTCCCGGGTCGGGAACAGCAGTTCGGGCCGCGGCGGCAGGAAGCGAGGCGCTTGTTGCTGCTGTTCCCTGGCGCGCCTCCCCGCCCTCCGGGGCCGCCGCGGCTCTTCCGCGCTCCCGGGCGCCCCCCCCATCCGCGCCTGCGCAGTGTTCCGCGGGGGGGCGGGGCTCAGATTCCTGTCAGCGGCGGCGGCGGTGGCGGCGACCGTCAGTTTTCGCTGAGGAGAAGCACGGAACGGACCCTTTGGCTCTCCCCCTTCCCCTTCCCCACCCTGAACCCCTCTCCTGGCCGCGGAGTATCAGTCCCTGTTGAGTTCCCCCTCCACCTCGCCTCCTTTTCCTCGGTCCTTGGCCCGGTGGAAGTCACTACCCTCGAGGAGGAGGCAGTGGCAGCCGCCCTCGCCTCGCCGCCCCCGGTTCGGTGCCCGCGGTCCCGGAGAGGAGGTGCCGCCGCCACCGCCGCTCCCCCCCTCCCGCTGCCCTCGGGCCGGGCTGGGTCGAGCTGCGATGCCCTCGGACTTCATCTCATTGCTCAGCGCGGACCTAGACCTGGAATCGCCCAAGTCCCTGTACTCGCGAGGTGAGTCAGGCTGGGGGGGTGGGGCGTGGGGGCGGGGAGACCGGGCCGGGGGAGACGGAGGGTCCCCGTCGCGGCTGGGGACGGCTGAGCCGCGACCCTGATGGTTTCTCTAGCCAGAGTGGGCAGAGGCCGAAGGGGTCTGGGTGACGGTGGAGGGGGCGTGCAGAGCAGTAGCGGCCCCTCCCCCGCGGAGCCGCGGGTAGCTCCGGGCCCGGATTCCGTCGGCCCCCAGGGCTCTGCGGCACCGGTCGCTCCTAGCAGTTTTCTGCCCGTCTGGCCCCGCCACGCTCCGCGAGCCGCTGGCATCGGCCTCCCGGGCTCGGGGATGGTCCCAGACTGGGCCCCGCGCTGGGACCGTCGCGATCGGGGAGCCGCGTCTTGTCTTACCCGGACCCTCCTCCCCAGCAAAGTTGCCCCTAAGCGGGCGTCGTGGCCTGGAGCCGGTTCTGGGTGCAGGGTCACCATTTTCCTCCCCTTCCAGCTTGTTTGTGCGCCGTCGTTCCACCCCCTCTCCCTGAGGCCTAATCCACTCCCTCCCCATGTTGGGACAGCCCCCCTCTACCAGGCGTTCTTCCTTTCCTCGTCATCTTCTTGCTGGAAAGGGCCCGAATTTTCTTTTTTTTTCTCTTCCCACCTCCGTGGCATTCTAATTACTTCTCCCTTCTCTTTTACAAAGATGGGGGTGCCTTCTCTGGATTGGTTTTATTCCTCTCCTCTCCCATGAGGACCAGCTCAGGCACAGACGCTGTCCTTTGAGAATTTTCTCTGCTTTTCCGTTCAAGGGCTGGTTGCAGGGAGGGGGCTCAGGACAGAGATTTTTCATTTAAGAATTCTTTTGGCTAAAGTCCGCAGGGGATTCCCACCATCTGAAATAATAGCACTGGAGCTGAGCTCTAGTCAGGTGAAATTCCTATACTGGACACCACAAGAATGTGTCAGAACAGGTTTCCTGTGCAAGGGGCATCAAAACCAAAATACTCCCACTGCGCTCTTTACCGCTTTTAAACCACCGGGAGGGGTCAAAAAACTTAACTGGATGGTTAAGTATTCATTTCACCGTACGAAAAAAAAGTGCCATTGTGAACCCCCTTCCTGAGAAATTCTGCTTTTGGTTTGATGTACCTGTTTGCTTATTCCATCCCCTCCAAAAAAGGGGACTTCACCTTCATAGTAGCGTCTCTAAATTGTGTAAGTGAATCAGAGTGCGATGGTTTACTCTGAAAGGTACTGGACTTTACGGACTGACCATTGATTTTGTACACAGAGTCCTACTTAGTAACTGTAGCCACTGTCTGTTGCTCCAATGACTTTAATTGGCTGCCACTATACTGTAGGATGTTTTTCGGGCAGCATTACTTGAAGTAGTTTAGAAATATTGTAGTTTTGAATGTTAAAAGAAAGAGACATATCAAGAAATGATTCTTAGAGCAGGGCTAATGTGTTAGAATTGAGTGCTAAAAATAGTCAAGACATTAACACCATTTGGGCAGTAGTCACCAGATAATTTTCCATGAAACATATACTTTATGAAAATCTAGGTTTAGCTTAGACCAGAGTAGAGGCAATTCAGCCTCTTCTGCGGGGAATGTATTCACAAATACGGGCTTTAGCTCTTAAAAATACATTGCAGTTGGCCAGGCATGGTGGCTTACGCCTGTAATCCCAGCACTTTGGGAGGCCGAGGTGGGTGGATCACCTGAGGTCGGGAGTTCGAGACCAGCCTGACAACATGGAGAAACCCAGTCTCTACTAAAAATACGAAATTAGCTGGGTGTGGTGTCGCATGCCTGTAATCCTAGCTACTCAGGAGGCTGAGGCAGGAGAGTTGCTTGAAACCGGAAGGCGGAGGTTGCGATGAGCCGAGATCGCCCCACTGCACTCCAGCCGGGGCAACAAGAGCAAAACTCCATCTCAAAAAATATATATATATATACATTGCAGTTATATAAGAGATGTATGCTATCCTTGGCATTTTTTCCTCATTCAGCATAAAAAGTACCTAATGCTTTTTGTGTTTTTCAGATTCTCTGAAGTTACACCCAACACAGAATTTTAATAGAGCTGGACTATTGGAAGGTCAGCAGAGTATCATTTTAAAGCATATTGTGTTAGTATGCAAAGGCTTTCTCTGAAATGAAGTTTAAATGGGAAAGTATGAAACTTTGCAAACTCACACAATATAGTTTTCTTCTGCAACAGTCTGATCCTTCTTTTAGAGCAGCTGAATGTTTCAGTAAATTTTGTTGCTCTGTGTGATGTGCTTGTTGGCTGTTGTATCTGCTTTGAGAATCATTGAAAAAAAATCATTTTAAATTGTGTGTTAGGTGTTCTACTTTAGAATTCCAAATCTTCATTTTAGCTTTTTATATACAAAATAGAATGTGAAAAGACCCAAAGATTAACATGAATATAAAAGAGTGACATAATTAGTTTTAAAACATAATTAGTTTTAAAATTCAGAATTTAGAACATTTATATGGTGAGCATTTCAAAATGATATGTTAATTATTTATTGCAAAAGCATTGATACCATTACTATTGCATTATACTTAAGGGTAAGGAAAGCCAAGTAATAGCGATGATGATTGAGCTATGCTTAGAAGAAAGAGTTTTAGAAAGTTCTGGAAATGTCGATAGAATCTGTAGATTAAACAGCTTACACTTACTTAGAAAACTTTTGGCTTTTAATATTTTAAGACATAAAATATTCTGTGTTATTTTTGTAGATTTTGAAGTGATTTCACAATATGTCATCTTTAAATCTTTGTAATTCTCGAATTGGACAGCAAAGATATTAATTTTCCAATTGTAGAGAGAGAAACTGAGGCTGAAATTAAGAAACCAAAAAAAAAAAAAAAAGTCCCACAGTAGAAGAAATAATACTTTCTGTGTTTTGGTTAGTGTTCTTTATCCAAAGCCAAGCTGCCACAGTGAAATATGCGTGTAACCAGTAAGAAACATTTTACCGTCTACTTTAAAAAGGCCCTAAATATTTAAGTTTGACTTGAGAAGATTTTTGCCGCCCTGGAAGGTAGTCTAGGATAGTGGGTGGAATGTGGGTTTTTGTAGTTGAGCTTAAATTTGAATATCAACTTAGCTACTTATTAGTTCTGTGACTTTGGGCAAATGGTTTTACGTCTCTAAACTTTAATATTCTTCCTTTTAAAATGTATTTGTCTCTTAAGTTTAGTGAGCCAATGTGTATTAAAGTGCCTAGTATAATGTCTAGCTTAATAAATGCTTTTTTCCTTTAATATCAGCTAAATTGTTTTAACAGTATAATTTAGAGCATATAAAATGTTCTCAAATTAATAATTGGTTATATTTGTACATATCAGAAGCCCATAGATATGTATTAGTGTGAAAATCAAATATTTTTAAAACTACAATTTGAAGTGAGAAATTTTTAGCAGTGTTTCTTAGTGAAGCAGATTTCTGGTTTTTAGTCATATTCAATTTGTGACCATGTTGTAGAGACATATTTGTCTGTACAAACCCATCCCATTTCCTGGGCAACAGACCATAGATTGTCATAATCATAGAGATGATCAGGGTGGAGAAAGACTTGAAAAAAAAAAGCATTAATTATTTAAGCAAATATTTTTAGTGAGCTGATGGAAATACAGCAACCATTTAGTATATATATTTACATGTTTATGCCTAAATACTTTTGTTAATTTTTCATTTTAGTTAAGAAGATTCTCAATTATTTAAAGTATGGCTACCCTTTTAGAAATAATAAAAATGTATGAGTATCAATTATGTGATGTCTCAAAAATTTTTGAGACAGGGTGTCTTAAAAAAGTTGTTTGCGTCTATAATGAAGTGTCTAATCTGTGCCACCTTGTTGCTATTTCTTTTTTATTATTGACATTTTAAAGACTATATAAAAGTAGAGAGAGAAAAATAATGAACCCCCATATACCCATCACCACAGTTTAGACATTGTCAATCTAATCTTGTTTCTTTTATCCCTTCTCTCCGAAGCTGGATTATTTTAAAACAAATATCAAATATCATATCACCTCATACATAAGTATTTCTGTATTATAGTGACTTATTTCTTACATTAATTTTTAATTACTCTATTTTATAGTTTGTAAACTATTTCTTGGAATATTCTAGTTTATTTCAGCAAAGTCTCTTGTGACTCTCCTGTCCTCTTTTTTTTTTGAGACAGAATCTTACTCTGTCGCCAGGCACCGGGCTGGAGTGCAGTGGCGTGATCTCGGCTCACTGTGACCTCCGCCTCCTGGGTTTAAGCAATTCTCCTGCTTTATCCTCCCGAGTAGCTGGAACTACAGGTGCACGCCACCACGCCCAGTTAATATTTTTCTGTGTTTTTAGTAGAGACAGGGTTTCACCATGTTGGCCAGGATGGTCTCTTGACCTCATGATCCGCTCGCCTCGGCCTCCCAAATTGCTGGGATTACAGGTGTGAGACACCACGCCCGGCCCTCTCCTGTCCTCTTTTTAAAATAGAGTACTGAAGGAGGCTACTGCTTCTAGTGTATAGTGTATCCTATAACCTTTGTTAAAATTGTAGGCCATGCTGCTAGATTTGAGTTCAAAATTGTTGCTCTTGACATTTACTTGTATGGCCTTAGCCTAATAATCTTTTTTGGTTCAATTTTCTCATCTTTAAATGGGCACAATAATAGTGTCTTATCCTAGGTAGTTGTGAAGATGATTTGAGGCAAATTCATGTAAAGCATTTAATTTAGCACGTAGTAAGCACTCAATAAATATTAGCTAAAGTTAAACAATTTTAAACAACTAAATAATATTTATAGATTGCTTACTATGTGCCAAGAACTTTACAAATAAGAACTCCAAGCGGGGCAGATCACTTGAGGTCAGGAGTTTGAGACCAGTCTGGCAAACATGGTAAAACCCCATCTCTACTAAAAACACAACAAAAAGAAATACGCCTGTAATCCCAGCTACTCAAGAGGCTGAAGCAGAAGAATCCCTTGAACCTGGGAGGCAGAGGTTGTGGTGAGCCAAGATCATGCCACTGCACTCCAGACTGGGTGACAGAGTAAGACAAACAAGACAGAGTGAAACAAACAAACAAGAACTCAGTGAATTCTCCTAACTACGCTTTGAGATGATGATGATTATCCCACTTTAGAGATGAGCAAATGAAGGCATAGGGAGGTCCAATAACTCACCCAGAGTGACGAGCCAGTAAATTGTAGAACCAAGTAGCCTCACTTTAGCCTAGGCTCTTAACTACTGTGCTACTAACTCACAATGGTATATAATATCAAGTATTGTCTAGTAATATTTATGTATGGATGTTTTACATCAATAGTCTAGATTTGCATCTATTAATAGTAATTAAAAACTTGGCCCAGAGTGAGGGGAATTTAAGTAATTGGTGTGATATAATTTGTTAATTTTTTAAATAGAATGTATATTTTCCAAATTAATTTTTTTTTTCTTTTTTGGAAACAAGGTTGGAAAACCTACACTTGGGTATTATTAAACTTTGCAAGTAAATTCAAAATGTCTACTATTCAACGGAGTTGAAATTTAGCCTTCCTATCAAAACAGTGCTAGTCTTTCTGGCAGTCACTTTTTAAATTTAATGTGATGATTGCCTGACAATGGGAAAAGGGTCCTGTCTAATTAATGTTATAATACATGGCCATTAAATGATGTTTCTGGTAACCCCACAATTAATATGTGATACTCTTAATAAAATAAAAATTATACTGTTACAATTATATTCAAAGTAACTTGTATTAAAAAAAATCCTAGACAAAAGTATATACCACATTTTTACTTTTCAATTCTATTCTTGTATATGTAGATATATATATATATATATATATTTTTTTTTTTTTTAAATAAAATGGTTTGCCATTAGTACGTTCAAATTTGAAGGCTAGAGTTCCTCTTTGTAGTGCCTGGGAAAAAAATTCAGCTGCAAAGAAAAGACACCATTTCTTATACATTCTATAATGAAAACTATTCATTTTGGCAAATGAAAAATTGACATAGAAATGACACTAAATGAAAGTATCATCATTCTAGAAATATAGAGATATAAGATGGTAGAAAAATCATAGATAAAACAGGAAAAATAAGACTGTAAACAAATTGGAAAGATAGGTAAATATAAACAATTTAAAAATGTTAATGATTTTGAAAGCATGAGTTAAGAGATCATATGTATCAAATGAAAGAACTGGTTAAATAAGAGCTGAATGCTGATCTGATACAATCTTTTTTTGTCTAGCTCTGTTGCCAGGCTGGAGTGCAGTGGCGTGATTTCAGCTCACTGCAACCTCTGCCTCTCAGGTTCAAGCAATTCTTCTGCCTTAGCTTCCCAAGTAGCTGGGACTACAGGCATGCACCACCACACCAGCTAATTTTTTTATTTTTAGTAGAGATGGGGTTTCACCATGTTGGCTAGGATGGTCTTAATCTCTTGCCTTTGTGAACTACCTGCCTTGGCCTCCCAAAGTGCTGGTATTACAGGTGTGCCCGGCCACAATCTTTGTTTAAATTAAACATTTAAGACTGGAAGAGTTTTTTTTTTTTAAATAGAGACGGGGTTTCTCCGTGTTGGTCAGGCTGGTCTCAAGCTCCCGACCTCAGGTGATCCACCCGTTTCGGCCTCCCAAAGTGCTGGGATTACAGGCATGAGCCACCAATCCCAGCCAAGACTGGAAGCTTTTTAAAAGAAAATGTGGGGCCGGGCACGGTGGCTCACGTCTGTAATCCTAGCACTTTGGGAGACCGAGGCGGGTGGAGCATGAGGTTAAGAGATCAAGATTATCCTGGCCAACATGGTGAAAGCCCGTCTCTACTAAAAAATACAAAAATTACCTGGGCGTGGTGGCGTCTGCCTGTAGTCCCAGCCACTAGGGAGGCTGAGGCAGGAGAATTGCTTGAACCCAGGAAGGGGAGAGTGCAGTGAGCTGAGATTGAGCCGCTGTACTCCAGCCTGGCACCTGGCTACAGAGCAAGACTCGATCTCAAAGAAAATGTGAAATACCACAATGAGGAGAAAATAAACTATGATTTTTTTTTTTACCACTGCTAATATGTTTGATATGGTGCTATACAGAATTATACTTTATAGTGCACAAATGGAAAATCCTAAACATAGTAATAATGTTTTATTGACTTTATAGAATATTTCTGATTTATATCTCTTCCTAGGGTCCTTGTTATATCACAGTTAGACCATAAATGCCTATGTTATGTATGAAGATATCTTTTTGGAAAAGGATTTTTTGATAACATTTAACATGAAAATAATCTATTGGATTTTTTCTTGTTTAGTATTTATCTAATAATCTCTATGGATCCATATCTAGTAAATTAAAAGTATTATGGAAATAATGCAGTTCAAACATGTCAAAAGTCATACCTAGTTCATCCCACCTTCTTGTCTTTAGATCCATCTCTCTGATTTCTTACCATCTGTTTTTGTGTCCCTTCCTAAACTCTTCTTCCATTATTTTCACTCAATACTGGAATTCTATTGCTTATTAAAATAAAAAGATGTAAATTCATATTCTAATCAGGTGATTCTTGGCCTGATTTTGATTTTCTGTTGACTTGAATTATTCCAGCAGTCCCCTAAAACTTCAAAATGGTAGTACAGAAAAATATTTCCTAGTGTGATTAGTATTATATATAAAAAATGGCTACTTTTTATATGAAAAAGTTGACTCATCAGATTATATTTTATATTAAGAGTAACAGGTAACTAGAGAAAAGTAAAGATCAAATTAATCTGAGAGATCAGTTAGGCCTGATTGTTTAGTGGCATAGGATATAGACTTGTTAACTTCAGAGAGGTAAAAGACAGTTTTTCAATAGAAATGTTGCTTATTAATTTATATTATTGTCTTTTCTTGCTGTTGCTAGGATTTCATGTTACACTAAAAAGAATCCTGTGTCCTCTGTTTGCTTTTGTGTTAGTAAAAGTCAAGGTTAAATAAACTAACAGGGTATAAGACTAATGATAATTATGTGCTTGAGTGAAAAGATAGAAATTTTCTTTATGGGTTAACTACAGATAATGGATCTAGCTTTCAGATAGAAATAAACCTGATGTTATAATAAAGTATGTATATATTTGATGATTTGAACTAAACGTGTTACATGAGAGTTCAGTTATTTTTATTTGCTCTTAATAGCTTTTGAAAAATAGATATTTTTCTTTCTTTTTTTTTTAAACTTTTATTATTTATTTATTTTAAGACGGGGTTTCACCATGTTGGTCAGGCTGGTCTTGAACTCCGACCTCAGGTGATCCACCTGCCTTAGCCTCTAAAGTGCTTGGATTACAGGTGTGAGCCACCACTCCCAGCCCGAAAAATAGATATTTTTCTCATTTTTTTTTTTTTGGTTTTTGAGATGGAGTCTCGCTCTGTCGCCCAGGCTGGAGTGCAGTGGCACAATCTTGGCTCACTGTAACCTCTGCCTCCTGGGTTCAAACGATTCTCCCACTAGAGCCTCCCAAGTAGCTGAGATTACAGTCACGCACCACCATGCACAGCTAATTTTTTGTATTTTTTTTTTAGTAGAGACAGAGTTTCACCATGTTGGCCAGGATGGTCTCAAACTCCCGACCTCAGGCGATCTGCCTGCCTTGACCTCCCAAAGTGCTGGTATTACAGGCATGAGCCACCGTGCCTGGCCCATTCTCTTTTATTTGTAATATTTACGTAGTAAATAGGTGATGATCATTATTGCTTCCCAGACATGAATGTTCATCATTCTCATTCAGGAAACATTGTGATTAGTCTTTTACTAAATATGGTGTTTAGTTTTGAAGATGAGAGAAGAACGGAAAAGTTTCTAATAGCTCAGTTGTTGATTATGTTTATATATATATATATATATATATATATATATATTTTTTTTTTTTTTTTTTTTTTTTTTAAGACAGAGTCTTGCTCTGTCACCTAGGCCGGAAAGCAGTAGCACCATCTTGGCTCGCTGCAAAGTCCGCCTTTCGGGCTCAAGCAATTCTTCTGCCTCAGCCTCCCAAGTAGCTGGGACTACAAGTGTGCACCACCATGGACGGCTAACTTTTATATTTTTTAGTAGAGTCGGGGTTTTACCATATTGGTCAGGCTGATCTTGAACACTCACCTCGTGATCTGCCCACCTTGGCCTCCCAAAGTGCTGGGATTACAGGTGTAAGCCACTGCACCTGGTTGATTATGCTTATCTTTATAAAATTAGTTTTATAAGAGGCTGAGGTGGAAGGATCACCTGAGCCTAGGAGGTCAAGGCTGCATTGAGCCGTGATCATGCCACTACACTTCAGCCTGGATGACAGAGTGAGAACCTCTCTTAAAAAAAAAAAAATGAATAATAATAAATAAATAAAGGAAGAAAAGAAAAAAATAGTTGTTTTTTTT